TTGTTGAATGTATTAAAAATATTTATATAAATACGTATGTTTAATGTTTTCACCTAAATAGGTTTTATGACCTAATGATTATATCATAAATTGATAAATAATGTAAACAATCATAAGTAATATCATTGTAATTATAAATGTAAATAAGTTTTACAGAATCATATATTACAAATCAAGTTAAAATGCAAATAAATTCAATATAAGTTTATAAGGAAAATTGGGTACACAGCAGTTTATATTCATTTTATATTATAAATTGGAGAATAAGAAAATCGTTTCATAAAACACGTGGCGCGTATTATGCACACATAACGCACACATTACACTACTCGTTCACACATGCATAAAAACTTTAAAATTAGAAAAATTACTGTAAAATTTTGATAAAATTACTTTTAAATCGATAAATTTTCTCATTACCATAATTTTTGTGAGTATTATATAAGCAGTAATATTTTACTAAAAAAATGTAAAAATTACAAATTTCTTAAAATTCTATCTTTTTACATATCTCATTGTTCGTTTGCAATCTGCTAATTTTATATATTTATATGTAATTTGTCTCCTGTTCGTAGTTCCATAACTGGTCACACTAGTTAATAATAGCGGTCATGTCGTGATACAACCAACATTAGCGTTGAACTTCTTTATCTACGTATATCTTGGTTTAAAATGCCAATAGCTGCAGTATCTAGTTGTGTTGTCTTTCAAGACTAAACCCTGACGAATCAGCGTTGAGTTCAGTTGCGACCTGCAGCGTCCTGTTCTGTCAAACTGGAGTTTCGAGATTGTCGTGAAACAGTGAAAGTTCAGAGCGAAAGCGAATCGACGGGAGTGGCCCTTCACTCATCGTAATTGACGGAATTCATTAGAAATGAATTGATTTCTTAGTTATTCTTTCATTCAATAGCAAAACAATTTGTGTTCGCAATCCTGTAGTCTATTACAATTTACAGCTGGAAGCTATGGAAGACTATCTACCAAATGAATATGATGTCGTCGTCGTGGGGACGGGTATTGATTTTTGCAATATACGTTTTACATATTTTGTGAATTTTTTATTTTGAATGCTTACAATGTTTTATTAATTTTAATAGGTATGACGGAGTCTATTGTTGCTGCAGCTGCAAGTAGAATTGGCAAAAAGGTCCTTCACCTAGACAGGTATGTCGGTTCTCTCTCTCTATCTCCATCTGTATCTCCCTCCCTCTCATCCTCCCTCTCTTCCTTCCATCCTCTTTTACTCTCTTGTTCTGTTTGCTCGCGTTTTCTCTATTTTCCACATATTTTTTTTTTTTATAGTTTGCATGCTTTTTCGTAAATTTTTTATTTTGTCATTTGTTCTTTTTTCTCTCTTATACTTCATATTGTTTGTTAAAACAAAAGGTATTTATGTATATATTCGTATGTAGTTATAAATGATGTCGGATTTTACTTAAATAAACTATAATTTATTCAG